TTCATAATTGGCAAGAGGTGCAGTTTTCAGTCTGCATCTGTTTTATTCTGCAAGCATATTTGTGGACCTAGATGTAGTGGAAAGCTGACGGTGGAGTGCAGAGAAAGAACCAGATATGGAGGATTGTTTGGGATCAACAAGGCCACAAATTAATTGGCAGCAGCAGCTGGGAGGTTGGGCTTGACACAGAATAAGGATCAATTCATTGCACAGCCAATGTACTGTGAGATTTGTAGCCCTTGATGCCCAGGTGGTGTGCTGGGAAGCTAATGTGGTTATTGGGCCCAAGTGAAGACCAATAAGAGTAGGCCCAATGGCCAACGGGGGCCCCCTCCATTCAATTTGCTCTCTGAGGTAGGGTCATGGCTGTTGAGGCTGCACACCCTAAATCCATAAGGGGCTCCCCAATGGTGGGAAGCTGGGGGCCCATCCTTGCTTTCCCAAATACTAATCCTGGTCAAAGCCAGTTCCTGCCAAAGAAAGTTGGGGCAAGCGATTAACAAAGAGAACTGTATGAGAACCCTTGTTATGAGGAAGACAAAATCCTGCAGGAACATCAAATCATCCTGTAGGCAAAATTCTCTCCCAGCCTTGTCAAACAGTGGCCACATTCACACCATACATCTAAAGCATGATGATACCACTTTAAACAGAATTCTTGGTGCTGTAGTTTGTTATGGATGCTGAGGGTTGTTAGGAGGCTACTATTCCTGTCTTAGGAAAAAAGCCAGAAGGAGACAACCCAAGCTGTATATAGACAGCAAAAGGGAAATAAAAGGCTATGGTCAGAGAGGTGAAATTAGAGTAAGTACATGCGGTGGTAGTAGGTGTTGGATGGATTTTGATGAGTAGGAGAGGATATTTTGCTTAGTAATTATCCTTCCTATTTCTCACTTGTGCATGAATGCAAATACAGTGGTACCTCGGGTTACAAACACCTCGGGTTACAGATTCCGCTAACCCAGAAGTAGTACCTTGGGTTAAGAAGTTTACCTCAGGATGAGAACAGAAATCATGCGGTGGCAGCACAGCAGCAGCGGGAGGCCCCATTAGCTAAAGTGGTGCCTCAGGTTAAGAACGGTTTCAGGTTAAGAACAGACCTCTGGAACGAATTAAGTTCGTAACCAAGAGGTACCACCGTATCTATTTCAGCAGAGTTAAAAATCATCATCCGTGCCCAGAAGCTTTTAAGACAAGGTTGCATATAGGCAGACTTGGGTTATCTTCTTCGTTTATGTTTCACTTTTAACAAAACAAAAAAATCAAAAAAAAAAAAATCACTCTCAGACTGTTTAAATAAAACAAAAAATAAGGTTTACTCACATCAAAAGTCTTGTCAGGATTCAACATATAGTGATGAAAATCCTTAATGCTACAAAAGTCCACAATCCGGTCCAAATGGAGTGTGCTCTCTGGAGGAGAGCTCACAGAGATCCTACTCCATTGCAGGTAGGAAAAAGAGTGAGTGTGTAGTAAGAGGAAGAAGTAAAGATTAATTTTTTATTGTTCCCTTTTCCACCACAAAAGTTTAGAGGATATTACATCATAGATGTAATATCTGTCTGTAACTCTCTAGCAATCATGCATTTGTGATTTGGCTGCACATCCTCCCACAGTGAGGAGGCTGGGAATGGAGGAATTAGCTAGAGAGGAACTAAGTAAATATATGAAAGAAGGAGGAGAATAAAAACCTACAGTCAGATTTGTAGTTGAGGCAATTGGAGGTGACCTGTGCTTGCAGACTAAGAGACCATTATACATTAGAACCAACATCTTTATACAGTGGTACCTTGGTTTATGAACTTAATCCGTTCCAGAAGTCCCTTCGTAAACCGAAACCGTTCTTAAACTGAGGCACGCTTTCCCTAATGAGGCCTCCCACTGCCAGTGCCCTTCCACCACTTGGATTTCGTTCTTAGACCAAAGTAAAATTTTCAAACCAGGACACTTCTGGTTTTGCGGAGTTTGTAAACCGAATTGTTCATAAACAGGACTGTTCTTAAACCGAGGTACTACTGTATGTGTGTTGGTTTTTTTGTATAATTGTAGCTTAATAAAGCTTCAAAACTATTTTGAACTTGCCTGATTTATCCCTGCTTAGTTCAAATGGACTTCGGGTATGCACTTTCAAAGTAGTAAGAAGAGTCTGTTAGAGAGCCGCAAAGACACATTATAAAAGACATCACAAAAAAATGTCTGTCTGGGCAATGGGCATGGTAAGTAATGTCCATTCAACAGATCTGTTAAAGACTCAGCATGAGAGAGCATGTAAAAGGGAATAATACTGCTTTCAGTTAGCTGTTCTTGCAACATAATGTCAGACTGTATTGAAGACTGCAGTGCAAGGATTATAAAGTCCATACAAAATTGTCCCTACTGTTAGGCAGAGTGAGGCAGTGGCATCAGGTGGCCCATGATGATTTGTGTGGGAAATGGTGGTGAAGTGTAGCAGGATAGAGCTTTGTGTGCCACATAGCCTGCCCTATGCCTTCTAAGCTAGCCTGCTGTCCTCGGGTGTGCTAGAAGACACTATCCAGTTGCCAGTGTTGAAATAAGATTAAACTGGCAGTCCAGTCTGCTTCTGGGCATGGAAGGGAGAGTGTGCCATATTCTCCTTTGCCTCAGGCAGCAATATGTCCTGGCGAGGGCACTGGGCCTAACGCACCATTAGCTTGCAATTGCTGTCAAAGCCAGCCTGTCTATGTTATTTAACGAAACACAAGAGAAGGAAGCATCAGCAAGCATCATTTCTAATTGTGAACCCTTATTGTTGTACCAGGTAAATATTCATTTGAAGGATGCCATGCTTATGTGTTTCATTAAAAATAACCCTGCTTTTAGATTTATGTTTCACCAAGGGAAATACACCTGTCAGAATGACCTTGGAGCAAACATATGAGCTGCATTCAGAAATTCACCTGAATATGCAAAGTGTTGCAATGGGAAAGGGACAGGGGTGGAGGTACAAGAAAGGGATAGATGTACAAGAACCACTCCCTTCAAAAGAGTGGTTTCCAGTTTACTTCCATTGAGTACCCTTAGAGAAGCCTCTCTGCAACTGGAAGCCTGATAAGACAGGGCTCCATAAGAACTTAGGAACTGTCTTCAGACCATCATGCTAAATGCACAAAGGGCTGATGAGCAGCACATTTACCTGGAAATGTTGAGGATGGGGCCTCGGCCCCTAACCATGGTCTAAGTAGATACCTGAATATGCATAGAGAAGCGTTTCCTCTAGGCCCAGGCACAGTGAACTCACAAGTGTCATGGCAAACCATGGCATCAAGACATGACAAATCACGTTTGGGGGAACAAACAGGCCAGCACATTATTGATTGCAGATATAGTAAACTCTTGGCTTAGCCATTGGGTATGTATCTTGAATCAACCCATCTGATTTTCTGGCTGATTATTCCATTAGGGTCAATCCTGGGTTAAGGACGGTTGCTATGAGGTAGATTAGGCATAGGCAAACTCGGCCCTCCAGATGTTTTGGGACTACAATTCCCATAATCCCTGACCACTGGTCCTGTTAGCTAGGGATGATGGGAGTTGTAGTCCCAAAACATCTGGAGGGCCGAGTTTGCCTATGCCTGAGGTAGACAAAACCATAGACTGGCCCAATTTGTCTCTGGGTAAATTCCTTCCTGGCCACTAATATAGTAAGCAAATAGCAAGGCTATCAAATGGAGCAAACCACATCATTGAAGGAGGGAGAAAAGTCCGATGCTGACTGTGCTGCTGGGTTCAAGTGCTGCTGGTTTTTATTGGCAGCTGACAAACTTGACTGAAGCCAGGCAGGAGTAGGCTTCAGTCAGGTCCACCCTGGTGACCTCACCCTCATTCTTTGCTATGATTTAAATTTCCTGGGCTGAGCCTGACTGCCCTAGCTGCTGATTGAGGAGCCAACAGCAGTTGCGGGTGCAACCTCTGCTCCTGCTTGTATATCAGTAAGTGCTCTTTTCAGACTTGGTAAAAAGGTTATTTAAAAGGTGCTTAATGTTGGGTGTAAAAAATGTATACTTTTAATATGATTGTCTGCATGTTGACATATATTTAACAGGAGATTGCACAAAGAACACCAGTTTTAATTTGATTGAGAGGTATATTAGCATACCTGGAACCTCAAGAAAGCTAATGAGTTGCACTTTGGTTTTTGGGCTTCCTGTTTCCAATGAGAATTTGTTGTCTGCTTTTCTTTGTGGCTCAACAACTCCCAAAAGCAAAAAATAAAAAGAGCATTCCCACCTCTATATTGCAATCATTTACAATACTGGTTGTTTTAATATATAATTGAGTTACTGTGACTTTCCTTTCCTTTGAAACTTTGGGCGGGGGGAGAACAAAGCATGGAAAAACAAAGGAAACTTTCTTTCAAGAATATGCAGGAAAATATCTTTCAAATTTCTGCATGTCAAAGGCTAGAACAGTGCGTCAAATTTCATTCATTTTTCATGTCTTTGTGTTGAAAAGCTTTCATGCATTGGCTGGGCAATGTGCAATAGAAGCAGTGCTTTTAATTTTCGACATGAGGCCTATTATTGGTTATCTATTGGTTATTGGTTGCCTGTTGCTGTTGGCAGGGCTTTTTTTCTAGAAAAAGAGGTCCTGGAACTTGTTGAGGTTTATTCATATTGTGGACAACTGATCAGGTGACCTTTGTGGCTGCTTAGTTTGCTGTCAGAGTACCAAATGCTGATGGGCCACTTCTGTTATTTGTTTTAATCTTTAATCTTGTCCAGGAAAGTTCTTTGAATGGAAGCATTCTTCAAATAGATGACAGTCCTCTGACCATTCTTCAAATAGAGGGCTGCTTTAGGACTCATTGTCACCGTAGGCATGGGGAAACATACTGGTCACACAGCCCAAACTTTTGTGCGCTACACCTGCAAAACATCTCCATTCTCTTTCATTTCTGAAATTGTTTGTTATGTGTAATCCTTTTGTTCAGATATTGCTCTCCATGTGTAATTCTTTGGGGGCACATAGATTGTCTCATTCTGAACAGCCCCAATATTCTCTCTCACACACAAACAAACACACACACTTGTAAGTGGTAATAAAATGTTATACTTGGGACAGGGTACATTTGAGATTTTGAGAGTATAGTCAGACCCAAATGTTAGCATTTGCACATATTCAGTAAACAGGGTGGTGTGGAGGAAAAAAAGTTTCCACAATTCTGTCCACTAACTTTCAGTCAGGGACGCGGGTGGCGCTGTGGGTAAAACCTCAGTGCCTAGGACTTGCTGATCGTAAGGTCGGCGGTTTGAATCCCTGCGGCGGGGTGAGCTCCCGTCATTCGGTCCCAGCTCCTGCCCACCTAGCAGTTCGAAATCACCCCTAAGTGCAAGTAGATAAATAGGGACCGCTTTGTAGCGGGAAGGTAAACGGCGTTTCCATGTGCGGCGCTGGTGCTGGCTCGCCAGATGCAGCTTCGTCACGCTGGCCACGTGACCCAGAAGTGTCTTCGGACGGCGCCGGCTCCCGGCCTCTTGAGCGAGATGAGCGCGCAACCCTAGAGTCCTGGGCAGGGGTACCTTTACCTTTACCTTTAACTTTCAGTCACCTTTCATGAATAAAAGGTTTTCTGGGAGATTAGGAAGGAATACTTCATCTCCTCCCCCCTCTGCTTTTCATAGGCTGAGCCTGCATGAATGGTTAAATATGAGGACTGGACCACCAATTCTGTTTTGGCTTCAAGCAAAGCTCAGTCCCCTGTAAAGTGATCAGATGCTTAGATGCTCATCTGCTGTCATTATAAGTAGTCATAAAAGAATGCCTGTGATGGAACCTAAATTCAATTTTTAACAACTGAGTGTAATATATATCCCTTAAATAATGAGCTGTCAAGTTTAAACACTTGGACCTTCTCAAGCATGATGGATCATCTAATCACTTAAAGAAATTAAATAGGCAAGACCCAGGCTGGAAAAGCTTCGGACATGTACTTTTTAATGGAATTCATGGAATTACAGAGCTATGCTTCTGATTTTAAGGACGATTCATCCTCTTTCTTTACAGCAAGTTAAATGAATGTCACCTGACACTCGTCAAGAGAGTCTAAAAGTTGCTTCTCTATCAGTCTTATAGGAGTTTTCAATTTAGATGCTGGAAGCCTTCAACCAATGATTGGTTTTATCCTCAAAATGCTAAGGAAAGGAATTGGCTTTAAATTATAAATACTGCATCCTGCCCTTTCACTAAGACTCAAAAAAGCAGGTAACAACATGCTCATGAGTTATTCATTCTCTCAACAGGTTACTGACTTTTTTCTGCCCAAGATTTGCAGATGAGGCATTGGTTCCTTCCTGCCCAAGACTGCTAGTGGTTCCATTGCTAATCTCTTTCTCCTTGATGGTTTGGGTACTGCTATCATAGTAACAGTACAATCCTCAGATGTAAATCCCAGTGAGTTTTAAGGGGATTACTTCCAGAGAAATGGTTATAACAGCCTAAGGATGAGAGCCAATGTTAGTGGTACTCTGAGTAGAGTTATTGAAATCAATGGATTTAAGCCTATTGATTTGTATTGGGTCTGCTCCAAGTCTCTCTCTAAACTTTAATTGTTATGGCTACTAAAATGAGAAACAAATCCAACCTTAAATATACATGGCAGATATAATTCCATATATTGTGGACATGGGACATGTGTGGGTACGTATCTGTGTCATTTAATAAATAAAAAGGTAAAGGTAAAGGACCCCCGACAGTTACGTCTAGGGTTGCGGCGCTCATCTCGCTTTACTGGCCGAGGGAGCCGACATTTGTCCACAGACAGTTTTTCGGGTCATGTAGCCAGCATGACTAAGCCGCTTCTGGTGAAACCAGAGCAGCGCACAGAAACGCTGTTTACCTTCCCACCGGAGTGGTAGCCATGGTTTCGAACTGCTAGGTTGGCAGGAGCTGGGTCCAAACAATGGGAGCTCACCCCGTCACAGGGATTCGAACCGCTGACCTTCCAATCAGCAAGCCCTAGGCTCAGTGGTTTAGACCACCATGCCACCCGCGTCCCTCAATTTAATAAATAGAAGTTGATAATATTGAATCTAATGATGCAGAATTGGTACTTGTCAGCATATAGATGGCAGATATATGTTTTGTATGAGTTTTTGTTACATAAAAAAAAAAAAAATTGGAAAACCAAAGAATGGAATTCTTCCAGTGAATTTCACTCATGTTTACTTCCTATCTATGTTATTGTTTGTATGGAAAGATAATACAGAATGGGTTTTCACGAGATTGAATGGATGTCGGCTGCATTTTTAGTAAACAATTACAACAAGCACTCCCAAGAACCACCAAACTCACATGGAAAAAATGCCTGAACCATCCCTGCCCCACGTTAGAATACAAGGTTACAGCTGTTGCATTTCTATCTAGAGCACATGACAAAGATTTTGCCTACATAGGTCCTGGCATTCAATATTGTAAATGTCACATACTTTGAAAAGCTTCAATTATTCTCCCTTATCCTGTGCCACAAAACAATTACAGGGGCCATGTTCCTATCTTTTATCCACTAGCATTCCATGTAAGTAAATATATTTTAAAATGTGTTACAGTGTCATTTCTCCCCTTTTCAGCTGAAGACGCTGCATTCCATCAGGTTCCTTTCTTTCTGGTTATGACAACAAGATGCAAGGCTTTGTCAATCAAAAGCGTAGAGGCTATAGTGAAAAATAACGAAGTGTTGAAAGCAGACATGTTTTGTGGGGATTACAGCCAGGACCAGGGAATGGATAACCATGAAGAGCAGCAGGTGTTATATAGGTAAAAAAGGTTAAGGACCCCTGGACTGTTAAGTCCCATCAAAGGCGACTATGGGGTGCAGCGCTCATCTTGTTTTTAGGCTGAGGGAGCCAGTGTTTGTCCACAGACAGCTTTCTGGGTCATGTGGCCAGCATGACTAAACTGCTTAAGGCGCAACAGAACACTGTGACGGAATTCCAGAGCGCACAGAAACACTATTTACCTTCCCGCCGCAGTGGTACCTATTTATCTACTTGCACTGGCGTACTTTAGAGCTGCTAGGTTAGCAGGAGCTGGGACAGAGCAACAGGAGCTCAACCCGTCATGAGGATTCAAACCACCGACCTTCTCATCAGCAAGCCCAAGAAGCTCAGGGGTTTAGACTACAGCGTCACCCACATGCCTAAGTGTTATGTATGTCTGCTGATGGCCCCAAAGGGCTAGCTAGCAGTCAGTCCTTTGAGGTGATTCCCGTGAAGGAAAATGTGTTAGCATGGAAAATCTACATGAATACAGGAGGGAGGTGGGATCAGGAGCAGGACACTAGTTGCTTTGTTTTTGGTTCTCACTACAGATCTGTCCTGCGAAATTCGTATCAGTGTTGCTGTTGTTTTCAAACTTTTTGGCGTCGGATATGATTGCCACATCAACACGTTTTTGACACAGAACGCAAGAATGCTGCAGAGGATTGTGGACACTTCCAAGGGAGGGGAAGTTTTTCCAGCCTAAGGGTCACATTAACTTCTGTGTGACCTTCCAAGGTCCATGTCTTGGTAATGGGCAAGGCCAGAAGCAAAAAGAAGTGGGCAGCAGTACAAATGTAAATTTTAACTTTGTTCACTAGGCTAGTTTCTACACACCTTCTCTGCATCTTTCGTTGAGACAAGCAGGGGGCATATCTCAGGGCTCAAAGACACATTCCTACCGGGGATGAGGAAACATTTGGGATACGAGACAGGGCCAGTGAGGGGGTGTGGGCTTTGGAGAGTTCTGGAGACCAGGAAGAGAGGCCTGGGCTTTTTCCACCCCTGTTCTGATACAGCTCTAGTGAACTCAGGCCCAATCTTGTAATGATGAAGTGTGTATAATATCATACCCTCCAACATTTCTCTGAAGAAAATAGGGACATCAATATTAATAATAATACCTTGTCCAACTGACTGGGTTGCCCCAGCCACTCTAGGCAGCTGCCAACACATATAAAAACATAATAAAGCATTTAAATAAGCTTCCCTATACAGGTTGTATAGTTACTCATCTCCTTGGCTTGGGAACTGCATAACTCCATACTCTCTGACGAAAATAGGAACATCCTACCATACCCTCCAACATTTCTCCAATGAAAATAGGGATATCCTAAGGAAAAGCAGGACCCAATCAGAAACTGGGATGGCGTCTGTAAATCCGGAACTGTCCCTGGAAAGCAGGGACACTTGAAGGGTCTGTAATATTCAAAGCTGAGTGAAGCACTGTATGGAAGCTCCCTTCTGTTTGAGTATACTCAGAGAGGCAAGAGAAGATCAAATAATGAGGTCTAAAAGCAAGTAGACAGCAACAACAACAAAAACCACCTATGGTGCTAATCACAAATATTCCAGCACACTCCCATGACTGAAAAGTTTATGTACAAAGCAGCCGTTGTTTTCTGCGTGTGCTGACTCAAGCAGAGCCACAGTGGGGAAATGAAATAAGAAGCTAGAGTAACTGCTGTACACAGAATATTCAATTTGATATTCCATTAGAGCAGCCTTTCTCTAGGGGCCCAGCTTCATCCTACTGAGGAGAAAGGTACAAAAAACAGTTAGTATGGGATTTACCTTAGCTAGACCCAAGAGACTTGAGTTAGGTAATGAATTATTCCAACTGAATTAAGATTGATTTGCTCATTTACCATCCTAATACAGCAGCGGATGTGGCTAGCTGGGGCTTGGGATTTGTCGAGGGTCCCAGGTCTAAGATAGATCTTGTTAGTTTCCTATTCTCTACTGACAATCCAGTCTACGGAAAGGGATAGAGCAGTGAATGTCTCCATTATAAATCATCCTTATTGAGTGACCACTTTTATGGCAAGTAACCTAGCTCCACTAGAGAAGTTTCATATAACCATTAATAGCTTTTATCGTTAGTTTATAGGTTGACCCAAAGAGTCATAAAATGCCCCACAAGTTAAATCATGCAGTTAATTAAAAAAAAAAGTAAATAGCAATCACCTTGGAAATAATTGGAAAATCTTAACATGAAAAATATGGCTTCCAAAAATTATGTACTTATACCATAAGTTTGTTACCAACTTAGCTATATATACATTTCGTATTCCAGAACTAGACATTGTATTAGATGCTAACATTGCATCAAATAACAATTGATTTGTTGGCATCCATCTGACTCGGAAATAATTCAGCGTGACTCCGGGGCTGAACTCAAACTGCTGCATTATTGGTCTCTGCCACTATTGGTCTTGTCCACTCAATCTGCTGGAGCCAGTCTTCACATGCAGGGCAGGTCCCTAACTCATTGAGAGTTTGAGACCCCTCAGCTACCCTCACCTGGTTTAGCTGGCCAGTCAAAGCCATTCCCAGGGTGTGGTCACAGGCGAGAGCTGAGTGCAGTTTAGGGATCAAAGGTTGAACAATCTACCCCAGACGAAGCAGGACGTGTCCCCCACCAGAGGTACCACCCTTCACTTAAAACCCCATACACCCCTATGATTGGTTTACTAGATGCAAATTATATAATACACAAGCAGTCTAAGAGGTCATTCTGAACCTAATAAACAGATGCAGCTATGAAAATGTTAGCAGTGAAGTCTAAGATGCTTTGATGTTTCAATCCTTAGTTGTGCATAACACCCTTCTCACCCACATTTCAGATAGGCCTTCTCAGTAGTGGTTCCCCATTTTTGGAATGCCCTCCCTAGTCAGGTGTGTCTGTTTTGATCATAAGTGACTTTCAGGAGAAATTTAAAAACATTCCTGTTTACCCAGGCAACATCATGAAATTAGCGCCTGTGGGGTATGTGATTGATTTTAAATGTTTTTAGATGTTTAAATGTTTTGAAATGTTTTTTAAAGAAGGTTTTGTCATTGTTTTTAAAATGTTTTAGGTCTGTTTTTATTTTATTTCAAATTGCATTGTTTTACCTTATTGAGTTTTGCTGCCCTTGGTTTCTTTGGTTGGAAGGATGGGATAGGAATTTAATTAAATGATTGATGATAAAATCAGATTTTTTTGCCAAATTGATTGCAAATTGCAAGAGTGGTATGGAAGGTCAGATCTGAGCTCAGGACACCACCAAAAATAATAGGATATTCCTATGCATGTGTGTTTCAAGCACATTACATCATGGAAACAATCGGTGTGTAAGTTGCAAGCTGTGTAGTGCAAGTCATCATTGGCTTTCTGATTTCTTTTGTCAGATTCAGATAGTAAAATAAAACCAGATTGTTTCAGAGGAACGTGGTATTTGCCAATTTCCAAAAGAATTTATCTGATCTTCACCTCTTGGGCAGGAATATGGAATTCATCAGCTTTTGCACTTCTCCAAATGTTGTTCATGGTCCTCAGCAATTTAAACATGTCACAATTGATATTTCCATACATAATGTGAGAGGAAATAACAGTTAAGTATGCTTTAAAATACTGTGTGTGTGTGTGTGTGTGTGTGTGTGTGTGTGTTCATATATAAATATGAATAAAGAATAAAGAATCGCAGAATGCATAAATAAAGAAGAATGGAATTATAGGTTTAAACATGCAAACATACTGTATTATGGACCACAAAGAGAGAGATTAACCTATGCCTATGTTGTTGTTTGGAAAATTAGGGTCAAGCATTCCTTTAAGGCTGGTTTTGCACTTATTAGCCATCTTATGAAGCTGCCTATACAAGACAGCAATGAATGGCATTCATCACCATCATGGTAGTGATTTATAGAATACCTATTGTTCTCTAGCAATTTACATTATGACCTTATTCAAATCTGTATCTATGGTTTAGAAGTGCTAAGTATGCCAAGATATTATATAGCTTCGACAACAGATGCTTAAACATAATTGTTCCCTAGAAAAGCTCTTCAACTTCTACTAACAACCTCGATGCCCTTATCTTTCTGAAAGAGAATAAATGCTCCAATCTTTAAGAACTAATGGAACATTGGTCTGTCAACCTCCATCTTTGCTGCTATTTTCACACAAGACAGAAATAACCCATGCTTAAAATAGTCCCTTAATCTTAACTTTGTTTCCTAGCTGTAGATTTAGGACCAAAACAGGGGGAAATCATGGAGCATAGGTTTATCAGTGACCATGATAACTAATGCAGTTCTAGGTTTAGAGGCAGTGCACCTCTAAAGGCCAGTTGCTTGAGGTGGAGAAGTAGGGGAAGTGGGGCAAGTTATCCCTTTGATGCTCTGATTGTGAGCTTCCCAAAAAGGAAGGAGGAGAGGACAGAGCATGAAGAAAGTGTTGTCAGTGGAGAGGGGCTCTTTCCCCATCTGGACCCTCTGAGAAACTCAACAAACTTGCTGCACCAGAACTGGGTCTGGAGAGTGCAGCTGAATGGGACACAGCTGTGGGCTGCCTGAGGAGGTGCCATCCACTCAACCACTCACTGGGTGACCTTGGGCCAGTCACTCACACTCACTCTTGCCTACCTCAGAGCGTTGTTTTAATGATGAAAAGGAAGGGAATGGCCTTGGAGTAAAGGTGGGCTACACATGTACCAAATAAATACTTTTTTTGGTAGCAGGTCTATCATAAAGTGACGCTATGATCACACCATATATGCAACACTGAATGGGATCGTTAAAGAGGGCAGAGCTTTGTTATTACACTTTTAGAGATCTCATAAAATCTTTCCAGGTATCTCTAGCCAGATGTTTGTCTCGCATTACCTATAAAGCTAAAGTAATTTACTGCACTGTCAATTTGTTTGATGCTGCAGGCAGAAGTCATTGGGATTTTATGAGTTGCTTTTTCTTCTTGATAGTCGCCATGCCCAAAATAAAGCTTCCCTCAAAGGTTAATACATGACTGAGCATCTCCCATTAACTATATTCATTATTAATTGAGCTTTACTCAGAAATAAAAAGGCTGATGGGAAAGATATGGAAAGCAGGTATGGACCAAGTTAAATGCTTTGTTGTCCAGCTCAACATCTGAACATCAACTTAAGACTTGATCATTGATTGCTGCCAATTTGTGTTTAAAGTGTCTTTGCTTTTAAGCTGCTTTATTGTGTATTTTTATATTTTGTTTTATATCACATATTTTCTCATGTGAGCAACCTTGTATTCCTATCTTGGAGGAAGGGTGGAGCATAAAAGCTATGTAACAGATAATGAGATATTTCTCAGTAATTAAGACAGACAAACTCATAGCAAGCTGAAAATATTGTTTCTTATTTCTGAAAATACTCTACAGTATTTTCTTAAGCAACACAATTATTGGGATATCAGTGAAAATCTGTTACTTGAACAGAATCTGAACTATCATCTTTTAGATTATAAGCATGCACTTTTTCTGCTTGAACCATTTATTTCAGAGATGGGTAACCTGTGACCATCAAAATGATACTGGCTGGGGCTTATGGGAATTGGAACTCAACATCACCTGGAGGACCACAGGTTCCCCATCCCTGATTTGCATAACGGCTTGGCATACATTTCCTCTTCTGCGAATCATTGCAATACTTTTCTGCAGACTGGAATAGCAGTTGGGTCCATGCAGCTATCCTGGTAATATCTGTTCTTTAGCAAATATGAGGGGGAAATGACATGATCAGTATCCAGACTGCAGCTCTACAGCCATTAAAAGGAGCTAACAAACAGGTATTAGAATCTGATGTATCTGTACATATAATTTATATGTATTATAGGAAAATCAGCAACTGACAGGTTGCAAAAGATGCTGCATGTACACTGACTGTTCCTTTGTTTTCATCAAATGGGCTTTGAAACTGAGAGAAAACAGCCTAGCATCAGAAGATTTTATGTGTGAAATACCTCTTATTAAGTTGTCTACAGAGCATACAGAATGCAGAATAAGTGCAATATTTGACAAGAAAGAATATGTGTTAAATAACATAGTCTGACTGATGTTTAACACAAAATGGAAATGCTATTTCCGCATAGTGCAGACAGTTGATAAGAAAATGTTCCTGTAAACACTTTCTGCAGTCTTTTATATATTCACTATGACTTCTCTGCAATCCAGTTATTGCCAGCAAGGGGGGGGGGGAGGGGTGTGTGGACTCCTACAAATTCATTACCATTTTAAAAATCCAATTGGTAAAAGTTCTCGTGAGAAATATAGTTAAGGTTGCAGAAGCATGCATATATCAACAGCCAAAGAAACTGCAAAAGCTGGTGACATGACATGACAATCTGTAACTGTGCCATATGATAAAATACAATGAAGGGTGGCTACAAACATCAGAGGGAGAAAAGAACCTAGTTATGAAAAAAAAGGAATGTGTCAAGAAAGCAGAACCTATGTCCTTCGCCAGCCTAGTAACCCCCCTTTCCAAATTAGGTGTTCACATAATTTTTTGTGTGTTTTATCTCTTTGTTATTATTGGATTTTCCTCAATGGTAGGTGGATATTGAGTCCTTCAATCACTGGAAGTATGTAACAGCTTTAACATGCTTTCCTTCTCAATCCTTGAATTGGACTATGGTGCTAAGCAGTAAACAAAAGTCATGTCTATTGTGGTTGAAAGATGTGATTCTCCATATTTCTTTCTCATACTTCTTCTTCCCTATGAATGGGGCAAGTAGCCTGTGTAACATATTGTTAAGTTTTTTCCACTCTGTATATTTCTGCTACAGCATGTTGAACCTCAAAAGCCATTATTTTCACTCTTAGACCACTTAATTTGTAAATAAATATTGCCAATTTAATCCTGGTGTGGTTATCGTTGACTCATTGGAGCATATTGGGTTCTACTGACCATTGCTAAATCACTGTAAGTAAGGTATTATTTATACTCAATGCTGTTGGGCCTAAAGTACACAATAATATCAAGTAAAGATCCCCAAAGTACAATTGCCAATCCCCCAAAAAGATTTTCTGCAGATAAACACGTTATACAGATATGTGTAAGATGCACAGAAGCAGATCTTGTAATGGCGTCCCATCCAGAACTAGCTATGAATCACCCAAGAATAGTATGGAAGGTATAATTTGGAATTATTATTATTATTATTTTATTTTATTTGTACCCTGCCCATCTGACTGGGCAGCTTCCAACAGATATAAAAACAGAAACATTAAAAAAACCTTCCCTATACAGGGCAGATGCCTTCTAAAGGTTGTATAGTTACTTATCTGCAGGACATCTGATGGGAGGTCATTCCACAGGGTGGGTGCCACTACCAAGAAGACCCTCGGATGCATATGCTTACAGCTGTTACATATGCAGCGCAGCACAGGAGCCGACTCTTGGGGGCCGTGGGGGCTTTGGCGCCTGCAATAAAATATTTGAGGGGGCCAGGGGGCCCCCAAGTTGATGAGCATTCCCATTCAAATGGTGTGTGTGCACAGCATCATGCGATTATGTGGGTTGGGGTTCACCTGGACTCCCACAATATTTTATTCAAGTTGGCACCCCTTCAGTGCATCCAGGATGGTTGCATGGGCTGTGTAGCTGCTCTGTGATCTGTATGGTGTGAATTTGGTCTTCATTGCATAACTATGGGATAGTGAAGAGAGCTCTGTATCACAGCTACCATGCAAAAATCTTTGAAAGACCATTTATTGAAAACACGGTGAACCCATGCTATGAACCTATTTTATTAAAACACTTTTCCTTTTCCAGTAACCTAACCAGACAGGCAACCAAAACATATTCCTATTTATTGACAAATTACTTATTCACCTACCTATTCATAAGATGAGACTGAGCAAAGGGGGGGGGGATTAATCATAATACACAGCTGGGAAAGTATCTGGAAGGGAAAGTAAGCCTTCCATTAGGGAACAAATCTGAAATTCTAGCTCATCCTGTTTGCATCAATCTCATCATATAAAAGTTTAATGTGGATTTCAAGGTGAGCATTAGTTTTAATTCATATGCTTTATGTTAAAATTAGAAGCAGAATTTTAAGGAGCTTTTTTCGCTGCAGGTAAAGACCACTTTTCAGTGGAGATCAGGGCATGTCATAAATGGAGTTGATAACGTTTGTCAGTTTATAAATCTGCATATCATATTTATTGTACATGCTATATTAGCACCGAAGATGAGACAGCCTTCAGTTCAGCTACTTACTGCAGAGAGATGTCCCAAGCCTTCAGTGTTCACTGTCTGTATCCCACCTCTCTAAGTAAATCATACATTTTCTCAATAGCTTCCAACTTGCTAGCCACTGCTCCTCCAGAGGTGGTCCTGAGGGGCAAGCTAAGCATGGCATTAAATGTGTATTTGTATTAAGTGCACAAGAAAGATGAGTGTAAACGTTCTTCCCTAACTGGAGTCCCAACAGTTCCTCTAAAAACTGTTATTTGCAATGGGAAGAATGACCCCAGTTGCAACAATGGGTGCTTTCCTTCCCATGCAAATAGCAACAATTTTCCCCCAGGACTAAAGTGGAGGAAAGCATGGAAGTTCCCACTCCTCACCTGCTTAACTCTCAAGAATTATCAACCCCTCAACAGCTGCTATATGCATTTTTAAAATCCTTCCCATTAAAAGCAAAGACAATTCCAGCATTGTGCCTAGTTCATCCCTGACAGTGCAGATACATTTGCAGAGTGCATAAAACATCAAACTGCACATGGTTCTGAGTACAAGACTGGCTCTCACAAGACCACCTACAATTAGTGTAATTACAAATTATTTTCAGTATGAGTAGCCGGCAGCTTCCAGCCCAGAGCCAGGTATGGCAATCTAAATAGTATTGGTTTAATGTCTAAAACCCTGACTCTTCTTCTTCTTGTCCTTTTTGTTGTTCTGCAGGCAGTAACCATTTTAGGTGTGTCCAATACAGGTGTGATGGCGCATGTGTGCATTGCACCGAACCCAGAAGCAACCCAAAAATGTTACAAAAACACCAGAAAAAGTGGTGAAGCAGGAAAGGGCAGGGCTGGAACAGGGCTTTTTCAAATATATGCAATTTTACTTAAACTTGTGTTGCCTTGGAACATAACCTCCACGTAAACTGGGAGTTGCAACAACATTCATCCTGGGGTTTAAGTGACAACCAACATGTTCACTGATGTAAGGGACTTAAAGATGATTCATTTTCTCTGTATTGAGGCCTGAGGGCTTACATGTGGCTGCCAACAGACATTATGCTGTCAGCTGGTTTTTTTTGCCTGAATATGGATTACACTGAGCAAAGCTTTTATATTATTGTAATTCATCCATTTCTGTTACACTGATCCTCAATGGTTACCTGCTTTTATTTGAGCTGTGGTCACTGGGGATTTCCTGATTGCAAGAAATTCAACAAATATTTGTTTTCAACACCTGCTTGCTGCAGTTATGCAAATTGCAGTTGCCACATAAACTACTGCTACATGGAAATCCTCTCGGTCCAGCAAAGTAACACTGGCATGTGAGTGCAACCTGGCAACAAGACCAAGGTATTTGCAATGGGCCATCATAAGGTGATCAGATGTCTTCAAGTATTAACCAGCTTTTTCAACCCATAAGTGTAAGGTATGCTTTTTCCTTTGGTGGCTGCTGCAAGGGCAGTGCTTGTGAATGCCCCTGCAGTTTGGGACAGATGAATCATTCACCCATTTTTGCATTTTACCCCAGAAGAGCAAGCAGACTCGTTCACATTTCCTCTCTAGTAAAGCTTATACAACTCTTCCCACATTCTTCCCATAACAAAATAGAACATATATCTTCATTCTCTGATTTTCATCAAAGGCTATTGTTCTCACAATGGCCCATCACCCAGGCGATCACCTTAACACTAGAAGCTAGCCTGGCACACTGGGGGTTCCCTTCATCTTTCTTCTTCTTGCTGCCCCATGGCCAGTCCACTTCGCCCTCTGCCCCAAATATCAAGTCTTTATTGGGGGGGAGCCCTTCTACAGGATCAACTGGCCCAGTTCATCCAAGCTGGCAACCAGGAATTCTCCTATCTGCTTACTCCTAACATCTCGTTATATATGGTTTATTTACACACATATATATAACCTGAGTCTACAATGCAATGCAGGAATCTTTTGCCCAACATGGTGCTTGAACCCATGACCCTGAGATTAAGCATCTCATGCCTTTGTACTCTTAATGGCCCATCACCCAGTTGATCACCTCAACACAGGAAGCTAGCCTGGCTTATATTTTAACACTTGCTGGTTCCAGGGGTTAACAGGTTCTCACATTCAGCCTGCTCCCACCACCACCACCAAACGCATAACAATATGTTTGACTACAGAGTTCAGTTTACAAGACTGATATTTATTTGCTCATTTTCCCTATGCAAAAACCAGTGCTTTGTGACACAATAAGCCATTTCCATTGTGCCTTCAAGGTCAATGAAATATTAATTAAAGACATAACATCTCATAATTATCATTCAATTTCATTATAGCACCACAATGATTGACTATGGCCATTTCCCACTAACATGTCAAGCAATGACTGTAATTACTAAGTAAGGACACAATCATTTCTCCCATTACATTTCCATGATCTCTCCCATTTAATTGTTTTATCTTTTCTTCCCACAGAACAATGGCATGCTTTGCTGCAGAAATCAATTTATTATCTCTATGGAGTCGTGATGACTTAAATGGAAAGTTTGTTGTGTTCAGACAGAAGCCACTTGATTGATTTTTGCCAATTTCCCCCAGCATTACATGCTGTCTTGGAGGTCCCCCTAATCTTTAAGCTTTTGAGGGCACAATGGGGTATAGCCTCTGGTGAGAGGTAAGGCAGAAAAGGTCTGGAATATCACACATGGTTTTATAAACTTCCGAATCCAGACTCATAATGCCATTACACAAATCTGTGGTGCAGTGGAATGCAGTGAATTTTTTCAGAGGGAAACAGGGCCAGAGGTGCCAGCTTGTGAAGGCAGTTTTCGTGTGAGAGCATTATGCCTTCCTCCTTCAGTCGGGCAGAAACTTCCCAGGCTTTGGGAAGGAGGCACCAGACTTCTGACAGGATGCTGAAGCCCTCCTGTCTCCTTCCCAAAGCTGCAAGCTTGCCCCCTCCCCAAAACACCAGTGGGAAATGCCCTGCCACTTTACACTGGTAAAAAAATGTAAAGGCAATGGACCCCTGGATAGTTAAGTCCAGTCAAAGGCGACTATGGGGTTGAGGCGCTCATCTTGGCTTTCAGACCAAGGGAGCCAGCGTTTGTCCACAGACAGCTTTCCGGGTCATGTGGCCAGCATGACTGAACTGCTTCTGGTGCAACAAAACACCGTGACGGAAACCAGAGCACACGGAAACGCCGTTTACCTTCCCGCCGCAGCAGTACCTATTTATCTACTTGCACTG